AGGTCCTTGAAGAATATTTTAAACTTAAGATTTCACTGCCATAATTAAAGCATATACAATGTTCAAGCCAAGCACTGGTGGCTCACATCTGTAATCTTAGCTACTCAGACGGCTGAGATTTGAAGATTGTTATTCAAAGCATCAGAAAACCAGAAGTAGTGGTGTGGCTCCAAGTGATAGGAGCACTAACCTTGAGCTATAGAGCTCAGGGACTGGGCCTAGGCCCTGAGTTCAAGCCCCAGGACTGACCAAAAAAAAAAAGTTATTCAAAATACTTGCAATGAGTACGTTTATTTCAAAAATGAGTGGGTTCATGTCAGATCTGCAGTGTGATAGAGGAAAACTTTTTAAACTCCTTTTTAGGAAACTATGGTTCTAGTTTTGTTACTCCCTTTAATCTGATGGTAAGTCAAGTCATGTCACTGCCATTTTGTTTGTGATACTGAAGTTTGAATTAAGGGCCTGGTGCTTGTCTGGTAAGCATTGTGCCATTTAAGCTACACATCCAGTACTACATCTGCTATTTTTTCAAGGTCTTAAATGGTGAATTTCTGAGATCTGAAGGAATTACTAGAAATGCTATTTTAAGGAGAAGTTGATAAGTGATAGGACATTTCTGAAATAAGTACTATTGAACACAGTATACCTCATGCTATTATACTATTATGTACTGACCTATCCTCATCCCGGTGTATGCTAAAATTCAGAAACAAGTTCTGAGAGTATATACAATTCAACAAATATTTAGTAGAACCAAGCTTCAACCCCTAATCATAGCCAATTTGGTGAGTCTAAAGAAAACACCTTACTTTTTATGTGAGTACTGGAATTTGAATGCAATTTCTTGAGCTTCCTAGGCAGGTACTCTACCACTGAGCTATGCCTCTCTCTTTTTTTTTTTGCTCTGGTTTATTTTCTAGATAGAGTCTAGCTTCCTGCCCAGATGTGCACCGAGGGTGACAGGCTATCACACCGAGCTTCTTCCTTTGAGCAGTCCTATTGTAGCTACATATATAAAGCTTGCTTGCTTCAGATAGTGTTACTGGCCTTAATCACATCATCACTTTATAAAATCGTAATGTCCTATATAAGAGAATGAACATCCCAAAAGATTTCTTTACAGCTGAAAATCTGAGCACCTAATGATTACCATGGCATAATGCTGTGGTTTTTTTTTTGGACATGTCAAAATGTTTTAGTATTTTTTTATTTTAATTAAAAAAAAATTTTTATTGTGAAAATCCTGTACAGAGGGGTTACAATTACATGGGCAAGATAATGAATACATTTCTTATCAAGCATTGTAGCTTCCTCCTTTGTTTCCCCTTCCCATCCTCCCCCCCACCCTATCCTCCCCGCTCTCCCCTCCCTCCCAGCACCAAAATTGTAAAGTTCGTTTTCGACGTAACGACTTGTACATCTCGTTGCAATGAGTCCACCTGTATCCCTATTTAAATGATTTGTTTTTCCCCTTCCCCTCCACAAATTATACCAACATCAAATACAGTGAAAGCAGGGGTTATACCGTGGGGGAGGGACATACAAAGCAACAAAGAAATAATCTTATAAATGTGTTAGAGACAATTGCATGAAAGAAAAAAATTGAATGCATATCTTAGGGTTCATTTCCCTAACATCACCTTATCTGACCTTTTCTGCATGCTGTGATATTTTTATGGTGGTGGTAGTATAAGTCTGATATTAAATCAGCACATATACAGAACATATTTAAGTTTAGTACTCTTTGGTTAGCTCATTGCTAGATTATGCATTTACTATATATATATATATATATATATATATATATGTATGTATGTTGAGAGTATATTTTTGTGTTGTATTTTAAAAGCTTAAAGCAAATCAGTATGCCATGTAATACACCACTGGTGCATCTAGAGTTCAAGGTGTTATTTTAAGTAACGTAACATCCAGGTTTATGAAGTACACTTTGCTTTCAAAAACAGGAATGGTCTAACAAGACAATATCCTTATTAAATAATGCATGACTATTGTTTGTTTCAATTTTGATTTCACTGTGGAAATATCAAAATGAGGTTGCTTGAGTCCTACCCTCACAATAGGTAAGCCAGGCACCTGTGGCTTATTCCTGTAATCCTAGCTAGTTAGGGGCTTGTGATCTGGTGGATCCCACGTCAGTGCTAGTCTAAGCACATCAGTCCTTGAGATTCTATCTCCAAAATAACCAGCAAAAAACAGGGCAAGCAAACAAGCCAGGCAAGTTCAAGCCCTAATACCTACGAAACAAAACAAAACAAAAAATGGTAAAGCCATGAGGTTACACAGGAAGAGTTCTCATCTATGACTATGTCATGGTAACGATCATAATACTAGAAGGTAGACCGTATTGTGGTATATAAAGTCTAGTGTAACTGGATGTCTTCATTAACTTTGTTCAACTATTGTCATATGACTATTGTCATTCTTGTTAGTAGTAATGCTTCTTGTTGCCAAGAATTGTTTTGTATATTATGTAGTACGCCCATGTACAGTATATAAATATATAGGGCAGGGAATGTGGCTTCGTGGTAGAGTGCTTGCCTAGCATGCATTAAGACCTGGGTTTGATTCCTCAGTACCACATAAGCAGAAAAAACCCAGAAGTGGCATTGTGGCTCAAGTGGTAGAGTGTTAACTCTGAGAAAAAAAAAAAAAAATCAGGGACAGTGCCCAGGTCCTAGTTCAAGCCCCAAGACTGGCACCAAAAACCAAACCAAACCAAAAAAACCCAGAATATAAATATATAACAGTTTATTGCAATGAAATTTGATTTCAAGGTCCTATGCTTGTTAGGCAGATGGCTCTGTTACTTGAGCCATACTTGTCATTTTTTGCAAAATGATCACAAGGTCATACCAAAGCTACCAGCACAACCATGTTCATTGCAGCAGCATTTACCATATCTAAAATATGGAACCAACCTAGATGCCTCTCAGTAGATGAATATATATATATATATGTATATAAAATCACATTTTCTTGATATATATATATATATATATATTTCTTGATATATATATATATATACATACATACATGCATGCATGCATACACACACACTCATACAGGAATTCTATGCCTCCATCAGAAAGAATGACCTTGCCCCATTTGTTAGGAAATGGAAAGCCTTGGAAAAAATTAAATGAAGTAAGCCAGGCCCAGAGAAACATAGGTCCTATGGTTTCCCTTGTTTGCAATGACTAGTACATGTCTAGGGCAAGCAGAGAATGTCAAAGGCTATGTACATATGACCACATGAGATGATGTTAAGCAAAATGTACCCCAAGACAAGGATACAAGTGATTTTTTTCTTTCTTGCTAGTGTTTTTAATGTACTTACAATGCACTATGTGATTCTTTTATTCCTTTTGTATATTCTTCCCTCACAGCATAATCCCTGTTCTCACTGGATTTGATGCCAGTGTTCTGCACCTTGTATATACATTTTTGTAATTTGGGGAGGGGAAGGGATATTGGGGAACACTTAAATGGGCATGCAGGCCGACCCATTGTGATGACGAGATGTACAGGATACTATGTTGAAAACAAGCGTTACAATATGGGAGGGGAAGGGAGGAGTTGGTGAGGTGTGGAGGGAAGGGGGATGGTAGGGGAAAACAGGAGGAGGTAACATACGAAATGTACTCATTACCCTACAACTTCCTTCAACTACTTTGAATATGCTGTTTTCCTAGACATGACAATACTATGTGTTGCAACACTATTTTTTCTCAAGTATTCTTCAGAGAATATCTCAGATGGCTATTTATGTTGATATGTCTGGTGTACAGCAGAAGGACCTGAAGCAAATCTTTACAAAGATTAAAGTCTGAATATAACCTACTCACAGGCCAAATGATGGAGACACCTTCCATTGTGCTTTGTGTAGCCTTTATTTTTTCATTACTTTTTGAAAACAGTTTTAACGGAGTTTTCTAAAAAAAGTTTTTGCTTAAACTTTTTGAATCATTTTCACTGTATGTACTATAAAGTAGGCAATTTACAACTCTAGCCAAATACAATTTGTAACTGGTTAAATTATTCCAGTTAAATCCAATAGCATATTTTGGTTTTCATAGTACTGGGGCTTGAACTCAGGCTTCGTGTTTGCTAAGTAAGCACTCTAACCATTTACCACTTATGCCACTGGCTAAATCAATAGCTACTATTCACAAGAGTGTGTAATACTAGTTTGATCAAGACTTTTACATTGTTTTGACCATTTGCTATGTTTACCTGAATAAAGTTCTAAATGAAATTGTATTTCTATGTGTGCCAATCCTGCACCTTGAACTAAGGCCCTGAATGCTGTCCCTCAGCTTTTTTTTTTTTTTTTTTTTGGCTAGCATTGGGGCTTGTGAACTCAGGGCCTGGGTGCTATTCCTGGGCTTATTTTGCTTAAGGCTAGCATTCTACCACTTGAGCCACAGCATCACTTCTGGCCTTTTCTGTTTATGAGGTACTGAGGAATTGAATCCAGGACTTCATGCATGCTAGGCAAGCACTCTACCACTAAACTACATTCCCAGCCCATGATTTTGAGACTAGATACATAGTAAAATCCATATGACACTACTGTTTTCCCAAAACTAAATGGAGTGGTGACTCACTTTACCCAATTTTAATTAGGGAATATATTCAAAAAAATTGCAACTACAAATTTCTAAAATGAAGCTAAAGAAAGCTGAGTAGTCAGAGAATATTGATGTTAGAAGTGGAGGTGGAATTTGACCTTGTGTCCAAGAATTAACTTGCAAGCAAGCTGCAATTAAAATTATCATTTTTAGAATAGTTATCAAATGACAGCAGAGTTTCAACAGGATAACATATATAGTTATATCTTTGTTTTTCTCAGTATCTCCCCACTGGCTAGAAATGATTCTAACTCCTAAATAAGGATTAATTTACTAGTAATAAGCTGTTTTGCTCCTGGAAGAAATAATCTGACCTCTCAACCTCCTCTTGCTGGACCTCTCAAATTCACACCTACCTACAATTACTCTCTTTTATTCTTCTTTCCAGTTTTACCTAACTTCTGGCAACAAAACATGCAACACTTTATGAAGATGAAGATGACAGTTGCCACACAGGCCAGCAGGAAACCAATCACATCCAGAGAGTGGTACTGGAACCAGTTGAGGTCATGGACAGCCGGACGAAGGTGTTTAGCTCCCTTGTGGCGCATGACAAACTCAATCCAGAAGACAGCTCGATCCAGAGGCTTCACTGGCTGATCATGGTGAATTCGTGATAACCTCATTGCATTCTCTTTATAGCTAAAAGAGAAACATAGAGATACCAACACTAGCTTAAACATAGGAAGTCAATGAAAGGTTTTGGAGAGTATCATAAAATGGATCCATGTACATTTCCCACAGAGGCATTACTGATACAGAAGAACAATAGAAATAACATGATTTTGTTGGGTCATGGAGAATGTGAATGTTGGGTGGTATTTTCAGATGGAGAAATATTTCCAAAGTCAAAATGGAAGTCCTATGGAAAAATATGTTCTTGGATTTTTTTCTCCCAACCAAGCAAATGTTAATAAGTCATTTAAAGTGATTTAATTGAGACAACTAAATGCAGTATTTGAAGAGGAATTATATTACAGTACAACCTTCCATTCTTCTATCCTCTACTGTCTAATTTCTACTTAACCTGAAAAATTCCTTTTTAATAAAAATATTCTTATTTTTAATAGTTGTACAAAAGGGTTTCAATTCAACAGATGAGTTTATATTTATAATGCATCTTGATCAATGACACTTTTCTCATCCCTCCCAACACATCCACTTCCCTCAGTTTTCCTAGTTTCAAAGGATATGCATTAACTATTATGACTGAATTCTCTCCCCCTTCCTCTCTTTTATCCTGTCTTTAAATTGTTGTTATTATTAGGGAGTTGTATAAAGGGGTTGTAATTCCATAAGTCAGGTAATGAGTATAATGCTTCTTGGACAATGTCCCCTCTTTTTTTCACTTTCCTCCATTTTCCTTCTCCCATCCCTGCCCATAAGTTGCATAGTTTACTTTTTACATGATGTATATTGAATACTATGACTGCATTTGTTTACCCTTCCTCCAATCCTGTGACACCTCTTTGCCTCCCATAAGAAGACAACAACAACAAACAAAAACAACAACAAGACAAAAAGACATGTTTGTTTTCCTGGAATTCATTTTGATAAGTAGTATTTTAGATGTCCAGAGGAGTTACATCTTTGTATCCCTCCACTAAGTGTATCCTCCTTTAGTCTGTTTGTGTATAAATGCATGCAGCCCTGTATAAATTACCATATCCAGTTGTGGTTTAGATCTAGTTTCCTCATGTGAGAGAAAACATGGACCATTTGTGTCTCAGAGTTCTGGGTCCACCTTTTTTCCTACAAATAATATAATAATATTATTTCTAATGGGTGAGTAGAATTTCATTGTACATATCACATGTCTGTCTTTCTTCCTCTCTCTCTCTCTCTCTGTGTCTCTCTCTCCTTCTTTCCTTCCTTCCTTCCTTCTTTCTTTCTTTCTTTTTGCTCTGAGACTAAGACTCCAACTCATTGTCTGATACTTTTGCTCATTGGCTGATGCTCTACCACCTGAGCCACACATCCAAACTTGAATAATTCTTTTTTTGTTTTTATGGGTCCGGTCATGGGGCCTGAACTCTGGGCCTGGGCGCTGTCCCTCAGCTCTTCAGCTCAAGGCTAGTGCTCTACCACTTGAGACACAGTGCCACTTCCGGCTTTTTTCTTTTTGCTTATGTGGTGCTGTGGAATCGAACCCAGGGCCTCGAGCATGCAAGGCAAGTGCTCTACCACTGAGCCACCTTCCCAGCCCCTTGAATAATTCTTTTTAAACAACACATGACAGAATTTTTTTCTAATCTTGGGGCTTGAATTTAAGGCCTGGGGACTGTCCCTGAGCTCCTTTTGCTCAAGGCTAATGCTCTACCACTCAAGCCACAGCTCCACTTCTGACTTAAAAACAAACAAATATCTTTTAATAGTTGTATAGAGTATTTGCCATTTAACAAATCAAGTTGTGATTACAAATACTTCTGGCTTTTTTTGGTGGTTAATTGGAGATAATAATCTCACAGACTTTTCTGACTTCTAATGGTGATCCTCAGATCTCAGCCTCTTAAGCAGCTAAGATATAGGTGTGAACCACTGGTGCCAGATTAAAGAAGTGCATTTTTAAAATTGACTTTTGCTTTGATCACACTTGGTTAAAACCAGGTGTAATAATTTAGAAATTTAGAAAGATCAAGAGTTTCAGAAATTGCAGATACTGAAATAATTTAACACAGTTCTTCAAAGTCATTGTCCTTTTGTGGAGTTGATGATATTTACAAAATTTATTTTCTTTACAATTACATGTATAGTAAAAGTTTTTTAAAACATGATACCACTTTATGAATAACTATATGTGCAGTAAATCTTAATGTCAGTTTTAAAAATAACAGCTTTGGAATAAAGCACATTTCCCAGTGATTAAATCATTTGAAAATTTCAAAAATAAATGTAATCTATTTTCATTAGAAGAACATTTCTTAAATATTACCACATTGAAAAAAATCATTATACTCACCTAGGGTCATTGATGACTGTCTTCAGTGCTTTGAGCAAATCTGCACTTGACATTGTGTGGAAGTCCAGTCTAACAGCAGCTCCTTTGGCTTTCATGTGAACAATGTTATCAGGCTGATCAGCAAACAAAGGAATGCCCACCATAGGAATCCCATGGTAGATGGCCTCATAGACACCATTGGTGCCACCATGAGTTATGAAAGCCTTGGTTTTTGAATGACCTAACAATGGGATAAAGGAAAGGAAATTATTATTAATACTAATTATATATAATTATTATGTTATATATACAATTAATACATTAATATTTGTAATTTATATTATCTATTATATTTTATATCTGTATCTTTAATATATTTATAATTTAATATAATTTATATATTAATAATATATGCATTATACAATAAATATAATGATATTATCTGATATAATTAATTATAATATTTAGCCTTAAAATGAGAAATAGTAAACAGAATACTTAGAAAAAAGAAATGTTTTCCCACTAGCAGATTGTTATTATTATGAAAAGTGCAGTAAAATTGCTTTTAAATTTCAGAACAACAAACACCTGCAGTCCACTCACAGGTAAGACTATATAGAAAAGCTCTCTGAGGTGAGACTTGAGGAATGAAAACAAATTTGCTATGAGAGTGGGAAAAAAACAACATAAAGTCATACCCTGGATAGAAGTACTATGGGTAAATATCTGAGGGGGCATGGGAGCAAGAATGAAGTTATTGGGACTCCAAGGGCACTCTGGGACTGGGAATGTGGCTTAGTGGCAGTGCTTGCCTAGCATGATACCCTGGATTTGATTCCTCAGAACCATATAAATAGAAAAGCTGGAAGTGGTTCTGTGGCTCAAGAGGTACAGGGCTAGCCTTAAGCAAAAGAAGCTTGGCGACAGTGCCCAGGTCCTGAGTTCAAAAAAAGAAAAAAATAATAAGACACACTGCCCTAGTCACTATGCCTAGGGTGTGGTTTATTGGTGCTATTGAACCAGAGGTAGATTAGGCTGTACTTTATCATGAAATGTACACCATTTGATGGTGTAGAGATTTTTTATTTACATAGAAAATACAGAGTTCTATGTTTCACTGTCATTTGAATTAGCTCTGGGATTATAGATACAAAACTGTAGAAAGAGAAGACTGGGGCATGATCCACAATTAATCACACCTGAAACTATGTCTGGAATTCTGACCATATAAAATGGCAGTTGTTTTTGCTGCTGCTGCTGTTCTTCCTCCTCCTCCTCCTCCTCCTCCTCCTCCTCCTCCTCCCCCCCCCCCCCCCGCTCCCCCCTCCCCCCTCCTTCCCCTCCTCCCCCCTCCTTCCCCTCCTTCCCCTCCTCTCTCTCCTCCTCCCTAGAGTTTGAACTCAGACCTTGGATGCTATCTGTAAGCTTCCTTGCCAAGGCTAGTGTTCTACCACTTGAGCCACACTTCATTTCTGGCTTTGTTGTTGTTGTTGTTAATTGGTGATAAGAGTCTCAGAAGGTGATCTGGCTTAGAACCCAGTACTCAGATCTCAGTTTCTTGAGTAGCTAGGATTGCAAGCATGAGCCACAAGTGCAGGGTTGAACTGGCAATTCTTGTTCTTAATGTGCCTGTGAGAAATACTGCCCCCTATACAGAATAAGTACAGTCATCACTGGTAACTCTGGCCTGTAATATTAGTTATTCAGGAGGCTGAGATCCAGTGGATCAAGGTTTAAGTCCAGTCTGGAAAGAAGAGATCATGAGACTCCATCTTTAATATAACCAGCAAAAAGGTAGGACGGAGGCATGACTCAAATGGTAAAGTACCATACTGGTATAAATAGGAAGACAGGGTTTTTTCTTTTTAGTTTTCCATTTGTAAAAATATTTCTTATTAAATATTTGTCCTCCTCAATTGCTGAGGTTGTGTTTTTAATATTCTCCAGGGTCTTACCAAGAAGGTCATTCTGGGGGATCCACTTGTAGAGCTGAGTGTTGGATCCCAAGACATCTGGTTTCTTGCCATCAAATCTCCATACAACCTGTTCTGTCAAAGAACCCTCTTAGTACTTGAGTCAGATCTCAGGTCCTTCGCATTAGAATTAAGAAGAGACTAATAAATAATCTCTATAGTACCTCTTACATGATAGCTAAGGACATGAGGAAAAGACATGATAAACAATGAGAACTACTAAAATAGTGCTAGAAATACATTTTTCACTGGACTTATTTTTCTATTTTATCAAGATATAGCATACTTTCTTGATCTTTCCTAAGTCGCTTAGGCAAAATGAGTTTTTAAATATCAAGTAGTAGCATGCAAAACATTTGTTATTAGAGTTCTAATTGATAAATTGTGCTTATAAACTACACATTCATTTTGTTTCACAACCTTTTATTGGAGTGATATTTATTAGTGTTTTCTTATAATCACTTTTAATTTTGTTTTGAGAGACGATCTCACCATGTAGCCCAAGCTGGCTTATTTGGTAGGGTCCAAATGCCAGGATTATAGATGTATCCCACCACACAGACAATAGCTACTTTGTGTGTGTGTGTGTGTGTGTGTGTGTGTGTGTTGTCAATTTTGGGACTTGAACACAGTTCCTGGGCACTGTTTCTGAGCTCTTTTGCTTTAGGCTAGTGCTCTACAACTTCAAGTCATGGTACCACTTCCAGTTTCCTGGTGGTTAACTGGAGACAAGAATCTCACTGACTTTCCTGCCCAGGCTGGAGATCCTCAGATCTCAACCTCCTGAGTAGCTAGTATCACAGGTGTGAGCCACCAGCCTCTGACTTGGAATAACTACTTTGATCATAAATTATTTCACTTCTTAGACCCTTGTGAGGCCACTTTTTCAAGGACCACCATAAGGGTAAGATTCCTTCTCCACTCTTTATTATATATCTTCTTTTTTCAGACATTAACAAGGACCAGTCTAGCAGGGCAGGCCAACATTTCTTTCTCTCCATCATGTTGGTTTGCTGAGTGCGTGGACTTGGGGTTGGTGAGTCCTGATCTTCTTTATTAAGAGTAGCACCAGCAATATGGATAAGCCTATTTCAAAATTCAGGGAAGAAATGAGGCTGAGATTACATATGAATATGATGTTGGATAATGCAATCTCCAGTTTTGAGTGCCTGCTTATCTTTATTGGGCTGGTATAGTTACTGATTAAAATATAACTTCATTCTGATTATAGCTTCACTGTGTACAGAGTCCTTAGTTCTCCTGGGAGAAAAAGAAAGAAATGACAAGGAAGATCTTGGGGATTTTTTTGGGGGGGAGGGTTATTTACTTATAATAAAACTAGAAGTTCAGGTTCTTACTAAACCTGTTAAATGCATTTTTTCGTGTACACTATGTGTACACAAAAGTATTCTGTTATGCTAAAGCACCTGCCACTTGTATTTCTGTATTAAAAGTGATTTCAGTGATTGATGTATTAGAGAGCCCTTTTTTCACATAGGATATATTTGTAATTAGACCCTTCACAGTGTAACAGACTCCTTAAGCAGATGTTCACTGAAACTCTTTCTCTCACCTTTTGTGGAATCTGTGCTAGCGCTGATGCAATCACATTGGCCTTCTCTTCTGTCATATTACCTACCATTGACCCCAGAGAAAACACCACAATACCATTGTTGCCAGAGCTCTGGACAAAGTCTTCCATTTCCTGTGAAGAAAAATTGATCCATCATAAAAGAGAGGCAGTAATGTAAAAATATTGTTAAGATTGGCACTAAATTTAAGGAGAACCAATCAATATTAGCAGGAATTATTAGAGTGAAGCTCTTTATGTAAAATACACAATACAAATTTATAATCATTCCTATTTCTAGGGTGTATAGTTCACCAGTTTTACTCATATTTACCCATATTATTATGCAAACCAGCTCCAAAATATTGCAGAATTGAAAATCTGTAGAAACTAAGAAAAAAATGATTTTTACCCTCCTTTGGTCCCTTGGCTACTATACTTCTTTCTGTTTTTATAATTTTGAAGACTGGGTAGGTTCATGTAACATCTGTCTTTTTAAAAATGTTTTATTGTAAAAACACTGTACAGAGAGTTTATAGTTACATGAGTAAGTACATTTCCTATGGAGCATTGTTACCTCCCCCTTCGTTTTCCCCCTACCATCCCTTCCTTCCCCACAGCCCCAACTCCTCTCCCCGCCCCAAGTTGTAAAGTTCATTTGAAACATAGTATCGTGTACATTTCATTGTTACAATGGGTCAACCTGTATCCTTATTTCAACATTTTGTTATTTCCCTTCCCTCCCCAAATTAGAAGAATGTATATACAAGATGCAGAATCAAATACAGTGACAACAGGGGTTATACCATGGGGGAAGAACATACAAGGGAAACAAACAAAAACCCATAGTACATTTTAAATACATTAAAAACAATAGCAAGAAAGAAAAAAAAAACAGTTGTGTCTCTATCTTGGGATTTATTTCATTTAACATCATCTGATATAGTCATATAGCTTTTGACCTTTTCTGCTTGTCCTAGACTTATACTAGTTATTGCAAATAAGGGAAACCATGGGACCTATGTTTCTTTGGGCCTGGCTTACTTCACATATAATTTTTTTCCAAGTTTTTCTATTAACAAATGAGATAATGTCATTCTTTCTGATGGAGGCACAGAATTGCATTGTATAAATATAACACATTTTCTTGATCCATATCCAAATGATGACAAACAAGGCTATACTAAAGCTGCCAGCACAACCATGTTTATCAGAGCATTATTTACCATAGCTAAGATATGGAACCAACCCAGATGCCCCTCAGTAGATGAATAAAACATTTGTATTTTTTGACTGGCTAGTTTTAGTTCGTGGGTTATCAAAGTTCTGGAAGTCTGTTCATGTGTCCCAATTCCTGTTTTAAAGGCTTTTCCTCTTATTTGTATGTGTATACAACATATTCTTTATTTATAAATCCATTCATGGATGCCAAAATTTTGCTTCTATTTCTTTGCTTTAAGGATGAGCACTTCATGGAGATCCTTCAATCAATTCAGCTTACCTGTTGATAAATCATGAATCTATTTTTTAATTTTGTGAGTAATCTATACCGTTTTCAGTACTTTTTTTCTTTTTTCTGTCATAGATCTTGAATTTTGGGCCTAGGCACTGTTCCTGAGTTCTCCTGCTTTAGGCTCATGCTCTACTACTTTGAGTGCAGCACCACTTGCGGTTTTCTGGTGATTAATTGGAGATAAGAGTCTCATGGACTCCTGCCCTGGCTGGTTTTGAACCATGATCCTCAGATCTCAGTCTCCTGAGTAGGTTGGATTACAGGTGTGAGCCAATGATGCCCAAATAGTCAAATATTCTTTCATAAATGATTGTAACTCTGAATAAGGTCACATTTATGTTACTATAAATTGGAAAATAGAGCAGGTCTCATGAGAGCATTTCATGGTGCCATACACTTTTTGCTTTTTCTTTGTAACATAAAATTATGATGTTAAATAAATTGTGTAAGATTCTCTTGTTTATTAAGAATATCATTCTACATGCTTATGGAAAACTTGAAAATATCTCAACCTAAGGGCGGGTAAGTAGGATAAGTTATCAGGTGTTCAATAAATATGAAAAATTGTGCTATTTATTACATGTATAGCACACATTTCCTCTGTACTATGGTGAGGGAACCTATATTCCCTCTGGAAATTTTCTAGGGTCCCACATAGTCTTAAGGTAGATAAGAAACACATGTGGTCTTTTCTTGATAGAACATTTTCACAGTCTATCTTTTGAAATAGAATTTATGGTATTTGGGGCAGAGACACTACCCACTTTGTGTCTCTATAGATTCTTACCACATTTCAATGTAATGTTGTTTTCTTATGAATTGAATGATGAATACCTTGATCTTACTTCCAAAGCTCAACAGTTTTCTCTTTAATTCTGTAAGGAAAATGTCTATACCATCACAACGATGTTTGTAAGAATTTCTATTTATCACTTCCTATGACTCTGTCTTTGAGACAAGCAATGTAAATGAATAAAATAGAATCATCCTGTTGAAATTGAATAAAAACAGAGGCAAATTAACAGGAAGATATTTACCTTAGGCAGAGGTTTGGCAGGTTTGCAGTGGAGTCCTCCCACAAATTCAAAATTTGGTAAGAGTGGGCGAGGGAATTCAATATCCCAGTAGGTTCGAATGAGCCATATATCAGCTTTCCCCATTGTCTCAAATAATGTTGTAGGTCTACCTGAAAGGGTAAAAGAAGACCAAAAGAATAGAGTATGAGAAAATTGTCAGGTGGATATGAATGTGAGATACTCTTCTCAAAGGACCTTCAATAATATTCTGAAATGTGTTCAAGAGTCTTTTCATAATACAAATATGTGTATATGGATAGGTGTATGTATTATCTATACATACATACTTTTCATGTGTGGCTCATATATATGTGTGCAGATGCAGGAAAGTCAGAAAAGACTTTCAGACTAAAAGACTGCAGCTTGTAGATGTTGTCTGCACTACATCTGTAACTCACCTAGTATTTCACAACTGTAAATAGCTATCACAATGAGCCAGCCTAGATAGTAAGGCACAAATCTTAACATAGATTTGCATGACATTACCTGTTGACCATAATACTTATGGGAAATACCTTTGCTAGTAAATCTTAATATATTTTGCCCTATAAGAATCTGGAACCTTGTCTTTTAGTTTTCTAGTGAACCCAGAGGGTTTTTATTATTATTTTTTTGTCCTTTTTCTTCCAATCCTGGGGCTTGAATTCAGAGCCTGGGCACCGTTTCTGAGCATCTTTTGCTCAAGGCCAGCAGTCTACCACTTAAGCCACAGTGCCACTTTCAGCTTTTTCTGTTTATGTGGTACTGAAGAATTGAACCCAGGACTTTAGGCATGCTAAGCAAGCAATATACCATTAAGCCACAGTCCTAGGCTTAAACTGAGAGGTTTTGAGTATGGCTATATTTCTATTCCTTTTATTTGGATTTCTACTACATTTATTTCACATAAATAGTTTACAGCATCTAGTAATTTATAACTATATTTATGAATAAGGGGTAGGAAAGTTTTAGAATATGGGAAGACTTACATTTACTCTTAATTTTTAGTAGAGATTCATAGTTTAAAATAACCTAATAATTTGTATGCCTATACTTCAATATTATGATGTGGGGGGGGGCGTGCACGCACACACACACATACACACACACGTGCGCACACACACGCACATACACACACATGCCTTGGTCTTGGGTCTAGAACTCAGGGACTAGCATGATCCTGGAGCTTTTGTGCTCAGCCTAGTACTCTATCGTGGACCCACAGTTCTACTGCTGGCTTTTTAGTAATCATTTGGAAATAAAAGGCTCATACTCTTTGCTGTCTTGGCTGGCTGAACCATGATTTTCAGTTCTCAGCCTTGTGAGTGGATTTTCAGGTGTGAGTCTGTCTACATACCAGTGCTGTCTACATTATGGCTATTTCAATATGAATAAGTAAATAAACTCTGAGTGAAGGCAGAAAAAAATCACTAAAAATCCAAAATTATAGGTTTACTATATCTAATATAAAGATACTATCTCTTTCTTGTGAAGGAATTATTTAGATAAAGTGAAAAAATTAATTTCTAAGTGAGAAAACTGATCTACACAAGGAAAAAAAAGCCTTCAATGGTATGTAGATAATCTTGCTGCAAGTATGTGTTGTCTTTAACCTGTACATGTATACCTTCATCAAGAGGTTTAATGAAATTAGAAATTACTGATTTTAAAGACCAGTAAAAATAGTAAGGCAGATACAAGATTGTGTAGAGAAACCCTCAGCAATTTACTTTTGGGGGCATAGTATGCTTCCTGAAGTATCCTGTTCAAATGTTACCAGAGCTTTCTGACACTTTTCTAGACATGTTTTGCATTGGATAGAAAAGCTTTTGTGTATTTCTATCATCATTAAAGATAAATTCCTTCATCAAAGAGAAATTCATCTGATCTGACATTCTTTCTTCAAAGACCAAGAAAATTTAGAACTTTATGGGAGCAACTGAGAATAGGACTCACCTAGAACTTCACTATAAAGCTGATTCAACTTCTTCTCATTAAATGCTTGGAACCAAAAGTCAAAATAAATCACGTATAGCATGTTTTTCACCCTCTCCATGAATGTCATTCGATCACTGAGTTCTGTCTCAATGATAGGCACATAAGAAGGAGGGACTGGAAGTCCTCCCATGTATTTTTCATATGTGTATCCAGGAAAGAAGCGGTGAGTGTACACCAAGGGAAGGTTTAGTAGTTCAGCCAGCAGGTCACCACAGGGAACAAAGGCATCTGCGAGAACGACATCAAACCTGGATTCTTGTAGTTTTGTCATAAGTTTCTTGTTCAAAGCTACATCTTTGCAGAGAATCTCAAAATAAGCAGAATCTTCCCATGTAAGTTCTTGCAACGTGGAAAAATATGTCCAAAATGGCAGCTTTGGCAGCTCATAAATCCATTTTCTGAGTGATTCCAGGAATAACTTTTCTATCTCCTCACTGCTTATTGATGAAGGATAGGTCTCAAATTTAATATGAGATGGTTTGTTGACCTCAAAGAAAGTAGAAGTTGAAGATACCAGAACAGTCACCTCATGACCCCTTACCACAAGCTCATCCAATATTATCTTCAAATTGATCCAATGGCTGTATTCCATTGGCCACACCAACACTTTCCCACATTTCCCAGAAACAAAGAAACCACTCAGCTGCAGCAAGAGCAGAACTGTAGTCACTTTGGAAGCCATTCTGTAATAATACAATGTTTCCTTTCAGAGTGTGTTTTCAGGCTCTTGCTCCTATTCAAGGAGAAATCATCAACTAGTTAAAATATAACTTGTACCCACCAAAGTAAATACTTATACCAGTACTCATATCTGGAGGCAAAGTGAAAAGGTCAGGAAATAGAAAACCTCCTGTTTATGAGAATGTGTGTAATGTTGCTCTTGAATGCAGGTGCTTTTTTGCAGTTAAGATTGATGATATAACATGAACAATGCAGCTATGATATGTTAATGATTTTACAACAGTTTTGAGAATGATAGTAAAAGAGTCATTCCTTTATAATGTACTTTTCTAGACATAAAACTAGAAATACAATCCCAAACCTTTAAATCAGAATTTTTGCTATGCATTCATTATTCAATAGGTTTTCCCCTATAATTATTTTTTAACATTAATGCCATAGGTTGCAGGGTGCCAGTGGCTCATGCTTGTAACCCTGGTTATTCAAGAGACTGAGATCTGAGAGTTGTGGTCCAAAGCCAGCCTGGGGAAGGAAGTCCTTTGCATTCTTTTTTTTTTTTTATTGTGAAAATACCGTACAGAGGGGTTACAATTACATGGGCAAGATAACGAGTACATTTCTTATCAAGCATTGTAGCTTCCTCCTTTGTTTCCCCTTCCCATCCCTTCATCCCCAATCCTCCCCCCCACCCACCAAAGTTGTAAAGTTCGTTTTCGACATATCGACTTGTACATCTCATTGTTGCAATGGGTCCACCTGTATCCCTATTTAAATGATTTGTTTTTCCCCTTCCCCTCCACAAATTATACCAACATCAAATACAATGAAAGCAGGGGTTATAGAAAAGGTCAGATAAATTGATGTTAGAGATATGAACCCTAAGATATGTATTCAAATGTTTTTTCTTTCATGCAATTGTTTCTAACACATTTATAAGATTTTTTCTTTGTTGCTTTGTATGCTCCTCCTTTGCACTCTTATCTCCAACTAACCATCCAAATACTGAAAGTAGAGTTGTGGCTCAAGTGGTAGAATGCTAACCTTGAGCTGAAGAGCTGAGGGACAGTGCCCAGGCCCAGAGTTTCAGGCCCCATAACCATAAAAAAATGTTTTCTCCCTTATAGTAGGTATTTAAGTTTGTTCCTTATAATTTCAAATTATATTTTATAGCACAGATAGGCTACATTTATTTATTCTTAAGTAAATTGGTATTTGTTTTGTTCTCAACTTTTGACCACTATTTAATGAGGCTACTTAATAACATTCATATACCAGTTTTACATAGATACACACACAGTATGTGTGTGTGTGTGTGTGTGTGTGTGTGTGTGTGTGTGCTTGTGCTAGTGCTTGAAGGGAGGTCCTGGGCACTGTCCCTGAGATTTCTTGCTCAAGGCTATCTCTTGAGCCACAACTATACTTCCAGCTTTTTGGTGTTTAATTTAGACTCTTATTTTTTGGTGTTTAATTGAGACTCTTTTGATGTTAAGATTCCTATTTCAAGAGTCATGAGTTTTTTCTCCCTGGGCTGGCTTCAAATCTCTGTCCTCATATCTCAGTCTCTGAGTAGCAAGGATTATAACCATGAGTCACGTTGCCTGGCAGTACAACTATTTTTAATCTTTGAGTAGTCTGTTTTTCAGTTGTACTAGTTTCCTCCACTATCATCCTCATTTCTTACTTTGTGTGTGTATACATATACATGTATGTGTGTATATATATACACAATATATACACACATAAGCATAAGTGCATATGCACACACTTGTGTATACATGTACAATACACACATTCATATATACAAATCACTTTTCCATCACTGTATTATGAATGGAGCTACAATGAATACGGGTGTGTGTAATTGCCTTTATTGTATTCTGTCTTGCAATCTATCAGACAAATGCTCTAGAGGAATGGAACAGCATTCTATTTTTAGTTCTTTGGGAAATCTTCATAGTGGTCACACTACCTTACATTCTCACCAACACTGTACTAAAGTTCCATTCTCCCACATCCTCACAAGCACTTGGTGTCATTGCATTTTTTGTATTTTTATTGCCATTGGATGAACTATTTTTAGTTAGGTTTTTATCATCGTTTCATCGTTGTATAGAGTAGTCACCACTGACAGAATCCATTTCAGTGTATGAATACAATGCATTTTGGTGAAGATCACCCCCTTCATCATTCTTCCTCATCCATCCTAACCCAACGCCTCTCCAGTTTTTTACTTTTGTAAGACATGCATTGAATATTGTGGTTGTATTCTCTGCCCTCTTTCTCTTTGCATTTGTCTACCCTCTTCTTTACCTCTCAAGCCCACCTATCAAGTGTTTATTTTGTTGGATTCTGAGTTAGTGTATGTGTGGGTGTGTTTTGTGTGGGTGTGTTTACTTGTGATGGTGGCCATTTTGATTAGAGTGTGATGGATTCTCCATGTTATCTTGTTGTGCATTTCCAATGTGACCAAGGCTGGTAGGCATTTTTTCATCTATTCACTGGCTATTTGTATTTGTTCCTCACAGGCATGTCTATCTCTTTTGCCCATCTATTAACTGGAATATTACTCTTTTTGAGGGTATCATATTTTAAGCTCCTGGTTATTAGCTCCTCATATTTTAAGTTCTGGTTATTAGTCCTTTGTTGGATGTAAGCTTAGCATAGATCTCCAGTTTTGTAGGCTTTCTTTTTAGCTTAATGACTGGCCTTCAGAGTGCAGAAGATTTTCAGCCTGATGCAAACCATCTGTCAATTTTCTTATTTGTGGAGACCCTAAAGTTATATTCAGGAATGTTCATTTATGCAAGCACATTCTAGTGTTCTGTCTACTCTTTTTGTAGTTCTTTCAAGGTTTAATCTTATATTAAGGTCTATGATATAGTTTGAATTGATCTTTGTAAAAGGTAAGAGAGAGACATCTAGTTTCAGCCTTCTGTATATGAATATGTATTTACCCCAGCACCATTTGTTGAAGAAGTTATTTTATTTTTCCACCATGCAATTTTGTCTCCTTTGTAAAAAAAAAAATTCAGTTGGCTTTAGGTGTGTGGGTCTATTTCTGGGTCTTCTAATCGGTTCCATTGCTCTTTATGTTTGTTTTTGTGCCAGTTCCAAGTTGTTGTTTTTGTTAGTATTGCTTTGCACTAAAATTTCAAGTTTGGTATTGTGTCTAATATCCTATTTTGATGTATGGTTCAGTAAATCTGTAGACTGCCTTTGGCAGTATCAACATTTGCACAATTTTAGTCCTACAACAGCACGAACATTGGCGGCCTTTCCAATTTCTCATCTTCTTCAATTTCTTCAGTGATTTATAGTTTTCATTATAGAGGTCCTTCATCTTGCAGGTTAAGTTTACTACTATTATATGTATATATGCATATTCACACGGATATATACAGTATTGTGGATGGAGTTGTTTTCCTAATTTCCTATTCTACAAAGAAGCTATTTATTTTTATATATTGATTTTGTATCCTCCTATGTTTCTAAAGGTCTTTTTTTAAAAAAAATCAGCTCTAAGAGTTTGGATGTAGTATTTAGGGTCCTTAAAGTATATGATAATATCATTTGCAAATAGGGTCAGTTTGACTTCATCCTTCCCTATTTGGACTCCTTCTTTTCCTTCTTTTGTCTTATTGTCCAGACTAGAAATTCAAATAGTCTGATGAACAAGAGTAGAGAGTGTATACCCTTGTTCCAATTTTTCCTCTTTAGTATGATGCTAGCTATCAGTTTGTCATATGTGTCCCTTATTATGTTAAGTTTCATTCCTTCTAGTCCTAATTTCTGGAAAGTTTTTTTTTAATATCAAAATGTTGTATTTTGTCAAAGCCCCATTCTTTATTGATTGCAATAATCATATGATTCTTATTCTTGATTATACTTATGTGGTTTACTACGCTGATTATATATGAAAAAATACACCATTTGTCTTTTTAAATATGGACATTTAAAGGTGTAAATTTCACTCTAGAGTGAAGCAACATTTCCTCCTTTTTAATGTAGGTACTTAAAATGAAAACTTCAATTTAAAAACTGCTTCTCAAAACCCTCCATACTCCTGGATTGGGAGGATTAACATTGTGAAAATGGAATACAGTCAAAGGCTATCTACAAATTCAGTGCAATACCCATTAATATCCCAGAACCATTCTTTAATGAGATAGAAGAAGCAATCCAAAATTTCATATGGAATAATAAAAGACCCTGAATAGCAAAAAGAATCTTTAGCAGGAAGAACAGTGCTGGAGGAATATCAAACTTCAAACTTTTCTAAAAAGCCATAGAAATAAAACCAGATGACCCAAGAACAGGCCAGAGGACCACTGCAATAGAACTAAAGACCGAGAAATGAACCCACAGACTTATGGTCACCTAATAAGGGAGCCAAAAAACAGAATGGAAGGAAGACAACCTCAACAAATGGTGCAGAATTGGCTATACATATGTAGAAAACTGAAGTTAGATCCTTATATATCACCCTGCACCAGAACCAATGGATCAAAGACTTCAAGGTAAAAGCAGATACCTGAAAATATTACTAAAGAAACAGGGGAACCACTAGGGCTCCTTGGCACAGGTCAAAACTTTCATAATCAAGACCAAAAACAGAACAAATCAAAGAAAGGTTAATAAAAGGATATTAAATAGGATTTCATTAAACTGCAGAGCTTCTTCATGTTAAAGGACATAGCTAACAAGTTAAATAGAAAGCTCACAGATCAGGAGAAGCTCTTCACTAGCCATAAAACAGATAAGGGCCTCATATCTAAAATGTACTTAGAGGTCAAATAATTAAATCCCCTAAAAACAAATCCCCAAAGAAACAACCACCCTGTGAAGTAAGAACAGCCAATAGATACATGAAGAAATGTTCAACTTGTTACAATGATAACCTATAACTTTTAAGTGTTTATTGAATGGCAGCCATTTAAATTCTAGAGAGATTATCTTCTGCATGAATAGGTTCCTATAACACTATTCCTGCCTGAGTGATTCCTAAATGTAGAATGGCTAGGCAAAACACTGTGATTCCATTTTATTTGAAATGTTTATTCTACATTATATTGCTCAAAAGTTAGCTCAGAATCACATGGATTGTAACTCTTTTACAAGAATGAGTTTCTTGTCATAATCTCTAGGTTTTTTTTTAGCAGTAAGTTGAGTAAATTTTGTGGCAGATAACATGACTTTTAAGAACGTTCAACATAAATGCATGTGGGTATATTTTTATTTTTGGCAACATTGTTTGCCTTTGGACCGAGAATATTGCATGTTTAAATAAGCAGTCAAATTCCTGAGAACAAAATTTGGTTTGACACAATAAGTTTAGGAAACTTCAATTCCATGCTCAAATCACTCCCTTTTCTTCTTTCTTCCACTTTCAGGAAACTTCTGGCAACAAAAAAGGCAGCACCTCATGAAGATGAAGATGGCAGTTGCCACACAGGCCAGCAGGAAGCCAATCACATCCAGAGAGTGGTACTGGAACCAGTTGAGGTCATGGACAGCCGGGCGAAGGTGTTTGGCTCCTTTGTGGCGCATGACAAACTCCACCTAGAAGACAGCTCGATCCAGAGGCTTCACTGGCTGATCATGGTGAATTCTTGATAACCTCATCGCATTCTCTTTATAGCTAAAGAAGCATAAACACCAGCATGAAAAGGAGGACAATTTGCCTAAGCGTATATACTCAGTGAAAATTGTTCAGAAGTATCCTAGAAATGATTGATTCAACATTAGCATTATTATAAAATGAATATCATGTGCTGGGTGCTGGAAACTCAGATTTGTAATCTTAACTTCTTAAAAGGCTGACAGCTGATGATCACAGTTTGATACTAGCCCAGGCAGAAAAGTTCCTGTGATATATCTCCAAATAACGAGAAAAAAAGCTGGAAATGAGTTGTTTCTCAGATTCAACAGCATAAGCCTTTAGTTAAAAAAAAAAAAACAAACAACTAAGTGAGAGGGAGGGCAAGATCCTGAGTTCAAGCTCCAGTATTGGTGCATGCACATATGCACACCCCACCCCCACCTCTCCACACCCGCATTCCTACACACAGATACTGCTTTTGTTCACATACAGTGTTCTGTTTTTTATTTGAAAATTTGATTGATCAAATTTTGAATTTGTATGAGGAAGGTCAGAAGGGAAAGGTGAAATTTTCCATCAGAGGGAATGATAATGACAGATTCGAAGTTTAATTAAGGAAACAGTAAAATTACAAGTTGAGGACAACTGTCTTGAAGCACTTAAAGAACTATGTCATGATGAATAAAATGCCTCTTAACAATCTCATAGTTTCTACTCTTCTTTCCTGCCCTCTATTTTTATTTTCTACCTAGTTTCCAGAATGATATTTTTTAATGGCAGTGCTTAAACTAGGTTTCCTTGCTCAAAATATCCATAAATTTCTCATCAGAAAAAGTCAATTGTTTCCCTGGAGAGAGAGAGAGAGAGAGAGAGAGAGAGAGAGAGAGAGAGAGAGAGAGAGAGAGAGAGAGAGAGAGAGTGTGTGTGTGTGTGTGTGTGTGTGTATGTGTATGTCAGTCATGGGGCTTGAACTCTGGGCCTGGGTGCTGTCCCTGAGCAGTTCAATTCAAGGCTAGCACTCTACCACTTGAGCCACAGCACCACTTCAGTTTCTCTGGTGGCTTATTGGAGATAATAGACTCATGGACTTTCTTGCCCTGGCTAGCTTTGAACCATGATCCTCAGATCTGAACCTCCTGAGTATCTAGGATTACAGGTGTGAACCACTGACACCCAGCTCAAATACAATAATTTTAAATGATCACAGCTGGCATTATTTTCAACTGTAACTGCGCTCTATGCTTATTTCCTGACATGATGTTTGTCTTTCTGCGGTGCTTATTTTCTTCTTCCAATCCGGGGGCTTGAACTCAGGGTCTAGGCACTATTTCTGAGCTTCTTTCTTTTCTTTTCTTTTTTTTTTTGTCAGTTGTGGGGCTTCAACTCTGGGCCTGGGCACTGTCCCTCAGCTCTTCAGCTCAAAGACGAGTGCTCTACCTCTTGAGCCACAGCACCACTTCCGGTTTTCTGGTGGCTAATTGGAGATAAGAGTCTCACCTATTTTCCTGCACTGGCTGGCTTTGAACCTCAGAGCTCAGCCTCCTGCAAGCTGCATGCCTGGCATTTCTGAGCTCTTTAAACCAACATTAGTTCTCTACCACTTGAGCCACAGCTCCACTTATGGATTTTTGGTGGTTAATTGGAAAGTCTTGAGGACTGTACTGCCCAGGCTGGCTTTGAATTGAGATCATCAGATCTCAGCTTCCTGAGTGACTAGGATTACAGGCAGGAGTCACCAGTGCCTGACTTCCTGCTGTACGTTGAACCACTACTTAACTTCTTTTTGGGGTATAAGTTACTGTCTTCCTTTTCTTTCGTAATCTTCCTTCCAATATCGTAAGGCTTTCTTTCATCTCATTACAGAGCACTTCACATAAATATCAATGATCAGGGTATTTTTCTTGCTCATTTCAGCATAGCAACCTAAACATGAGAAATTGTTGTAAGGCCATGTTACCTTTATTATGTGATAAAACACCATTGAATTATATTATTTATTTTATTATACTTAGTTTATAATATATTTTTATGTTTTCTGAAGTAAATAAGTTTGTTATATATGTATGTGTACACATACACACACACACACACACATACACACACACACTTGTTTGGTTTTTGGTCAGCTGTGGGGCTTGAACTTAGGGCCTGGGCACTGTCTCTGAGCTTTTGTACTCAAGGCTAGTGCTCTACTACTTTGAATAACAGTGCCACTCTAGTTTTCTTGTGATTAGTTGCAGATAAGAGTCTCATGGACTTTCCTTCTGGGGCTGTGTTTGAACCAAAATCCTCATATCTCAGCCTGCTGTGTTGCTAGGATTACAGGCATGAGTGCCCAGTGCCCAGAAAGTTTTGGATAAATTTCATAGTGTGTATCAGTCATTATTCAAATCTATAAATATTATTAATGAATGAATATTTAAGCAAAAGGTTATTTGTAGTTTCAGAAGTATAAAATTAACGTATTTTCATTTGTGTTCAAGTCACTCATAATTTTTGCATAAGTTAAAATGTATATTTAAAAAGTAATGTTCTTATTACAGTAGACAAATGCCTCTAACTTTTTGTTTTTGTTTTTTTTTTGGTTGGTTGGGGCCAGAACTCTGGGCCTGAGCACTGTCCCTGAACCCTTCAGCTCAAGGCTAGAGCTCTACTTAAACCACAGGACCACTCCTGGCTTTTTCTGCTTATGTGGTGCTGAGGAATGGAACCTAGGGCCTTCTGAGCAAGCACTCTACCACTGAGTCACATTCCCAGCCTTGCCTCTAACTTTTTTAGTATACTTAGATATTATTGCACTGATTCTCCAATTAATTTATGGTATCAAAGGCTATTACCAATGACTTTCTTGTTGAAAATAAAAGCAGATTTTGCCTTCCAAAAAGTTTGAAATTCGTACATATGAATGACAAGAATTCCTTTATAAACATTCCTTTATAATGAATATAGTTATACTTACAAAGGGTCGTAAATAACTGCATCCAAGGCATTGAGAAGGTCTGACTTTGTCATTGTGTTGAAGTTCACTCTAACAGCTGCTCCTTTGGCCACCATGTGAACAATGTTATCAGGCTGATCCCCAAACAGAGGCATTCCCACCATAGGAATCCCGTGATAGATTGCCTCATAGATGCCATTGGTTCCACCATGGGTTATGAAAGCCTTCGTTTTTGGATGACCTACAATCGGGTGAATTTCGTCAAAAGTATTTATTATAAATCTTATGAACTCAGTGAGAAATGAGTGTTATGAGGCCTTAAAGGGGCCAGTAATTTGTAAATCATTATGGCCATGAAATTACATTGAAATTGCTTTGAATCTTACAAGAAGCACTTAAATCCCTTAGAGGATCATGAACAGACTTCATGGTAGAAATATTGTGTGACTTGAGAGTTGAATAATGAAAAGTAGATTGGCAAGAGCAGACGAGGCAGCTTGTGTCCATTCATAAAAACAGATTTGGGGGTCATCGTAGGGCATTTTCCCTGCAGACATAATGACATCATTGATTCTGATACAAAAGGTGTTCCAGGCAGCAGAAAGCAGCATGGTAATGGAGCTGAAGTATCAGAAAACACAGACTACTTGTCATCAGGAATGATGTTGACACTGCATGATAATGTTTATAGATTAGTTTCAACAGAAAGGAAAGTCTCTCGTCATATAAGAGAAGATATTATTTTTTCAATAGTGGCTGAGATGCAATAGGGGAATAATAAGGAAAGCTTTAGGAAAATGAGACAAAGAGACAATCAAAAAACTGCTTCAAAAATGCTGGGAGAGGCAATTATACCTTAAAGACCTTTCTGTTCTTCCCATAGAGAGTATAATTATACACACTAACATGAGAATGTTTATAAGTTTATCCTTTTACTTTACAATTTTGACATAATAAATATTCAGTGAACTTGTTTCCCGTTGAATGATTTATTACATGATTGTGCAGATGTTTCTCATGCATTTCACTGGTTACTTTCCAGACTCTTACCAAGAAGGTCATTCTGGGGAATCCATTTGTACAAGACAGTGTTGGATCCTAAGGTATCTGGTTTCTTGCCTTGAAATTTCCATACAACCTGTTGTTACAGAAAATATCTTTTTTTTTTTTGACTGAAAAGTCAAAGTTCCTACATAATTGATGAAACTTCCAATTAAACAGAAATTCACATTCTATATGCCAGATAACATGGAAAGCATAAAGTATGTGGATCATAATCTAGAAAAAGGCCAGGACAAGAAGCTAGTCTATGTCAAAATAACTAGTGAAAAGTGAAGGAAGGGGTGACATTATCCAAAAAGAATTCTATTCATTTTCTGGCTTATGTAGTGGTAACCCCTCTGTATATTGCCTTAAAATAACAATAAAATTATACTTAAAAAACAATAGTGGGAAAAAAGACTGAATGTGTGATTCAGCAGTAGAGATATTCATAAGATGCATTGGAAGCCTTGTAACAATTTACGTTTTTACTATTTTTTGGCAGAACTAGCTTTGAATTTAGGGTCTCGTGCTTGCTAGTTAGGGGCTATCCCACCAGAGTCAATCCAACAATCTACGTCTGTACTCAAATCTTTTAGTGTTTAGAATAGGGCACTAAGCTCTCACCTTTTGTGTAATCTGTGCTAGCGCTGATGCAATCACATTGGCCCTCTCTTCTGTCATGTTACTGACCATTGACCCCAGAGAAAACACCACAACACCGTCGTCTCCAGAGCTCTGGACAAAGTCTTCCATTTCCTGTGAAGAAAGTACTTGTTTGGTTACAAAAGAGCAACAACACAGAAAACATTTTAAAAGACTGTCAAAACTCTAAAGGCAATCAGGCACTGGTGTCTGATGCCTGTAATCCTAGCTACTTTGGAGGTTGAGA